CGATCTCGTCGACGATCTCTTTCCCTCGGCACACAATGAGACAAGAACGCTTCCTTCGTTAGTACAAACTGCGTATAGGTGACTCGCGCCGCGGAGGAGCGCGAGCTCTCTCTCTCTCTCCTCTTTTTGTCCTCCACGAGAAACGCAGCGGCCATCTCGCGCATCTCCCTCTCGGTCATCAGTGAAAAATATCGACACTTTGAAAATCATTTCGCCTCTCGTCCCTCCCTCGACTCCGTCTTTGTCTTGTCACCTACGTCCCAAGGGTGCGTCCTCACCCTCCGCTCGCCCTCGCGACTTCCGGAACTGCGGGAATTCGCGAATTAATCGCCCGGGGCGAAACTAACGCGGAAAGAATTTCGGGCAATTTTAAACCGGCATTCCTCGTCCGAACCGACGGACGGCAGGAATCGCCTCGACTGATCTAAGATCGCTTCTCGCTTCGTCGTTTTTTCTCGTGAGAAACTCGATGGTCCTCCTTCGAGGAATGATCAACGTGTGAGGGTTTAAGGGCAAGGTCGCCGTCAGCCGGTATGACAAGCGACCTGTAACCGCTGTCGCGCGATATTAGATGAGTCGAACCGAGTGTCGAACGAGCGATCGGGTTTCGGGTTGCGGCTGCTGGCTGCTGCTGCGCCTGCTACGTCATGCCGCTTCACGTGCACCTAATAGCTACACCAGGGCCCTAATGCATACGATTGAATATGCGAATTAGCTCGCCTTGACGCCCGAAGCACGAAACAAGTCGTTCATTTTCCCACGGATCGATACTTAAGAGTCTCCGAGAGGTCCATCGGGTGTTTTCCGGATGCGAGCCAGCGGTTGCCGCCTACTCGAGATGCATTTCCACCTAAGTGTACCGTATTTATAATATAACGCGGGTAGATACTAATGCGACGGACGTGCTCGTACAAGAGGAAGTTCCCTTGCAGCGACGCGGAATGACAAATTTCGTCACAGCGGCCGAATAAGATTGTACATACAAATTGTTCCCCCATTTTTACCATCCCTCATCTATTAATTAAAATTTTCTTTTTCTCTGACTTATTCGGAATCTAATCGAACATTTTCGTTAATAAAGTTTCGTTAATAGAGTTTATCATACAAACGGCTGCAAATAAGCACGTAAATAAATTAATTATTGAAATAGAGACGTACATACAAAAACTGGAAACTTTTTGTTATTAAGAAAATGTTAATATAATAATAATCTACATAAAAAACTTTTTCCTAATTTTTAAATAAAACTAAATTTTTGTACGTTAAAGACAAATCTGATTTTCTCCACACACACATTTGTGTATTACATTAAATTTTAAAGAATGACAGAAATTATAATTTGTAAAAAAAACACATTCAAGTCAGAATTTTTTTTTATTAGCAAAGTAATTATTAAATATCTGTTTTGAAAAATAATTAAATTTATAGTGTAATTACGTTAAAAAATTGGTACTATTTCGATTGACAAGAAAGAACATTCTTGCGGAATGTTTTCGCCAGAAATGATATTGGTTCGATTCGAGCGAATCAGCGCATAGCACAATGGCGGGGGAGTGACAGGTCTCTGAAGCTGCGACTAAATGAAAGAAATGAAAGAAAAGCAGAGGCTGGAACGAGCCGGGGGGAGGGGAGGGGGGGGAGGGTTCTCCGCGGAAGGTTCCAAGGCGAAATCGAAGGTCGCGGCCTTGCCCGACCGCTGGCTGCGAAACCGTCCCGTTTCATCAGCTCGATTCCTGCGACAGAGCATTATTCGAATACTTGAGTGAAATATTAGATATCTAATCCCGTGCCGTGCGCGTCGCGAAGTCCTTCCCGCGTTTCCCGTCGTGATTCACGATTTCTATTCCGCGCGCGGGGGACACGCGGCATCTCGTCAATATCGTCTTCGGATCCTCCCAAGTCCCGAGGCCGAGGTCGCCTCGGTGTTTAATCGGCGACCTTTTAAGCGCCGAGCGCCAGCCTGATCCCATAATCGATGGAGTAATTTGATTCAGCTGAGCGCTCGATCGAGCGCTTAAAACTTATTTACTGAACATATTAGGTGTCCTAAGAGCGACTCTCTGGATTTGCAGCAGCGTTCAGTTCAAATCGCCGTTCTCCGACAAATATTATAATTAAAGTGAACACCCAAAGATATATAAGAAATTAATTGTAGATAATACGAGAGGAAATGACGATTCATACAAAACGATAAAAAAATCTACGTTGGCAAAGTTACAACAATAATTATTGATTATTTATCCTGGTGAAAGTAATCGAAGTCATTACGTTAAGAGATATTGTGATCGCTAAGGAAGGAGGTTTTTGCAGTAGAATGTCTATTCCGTATCGTAGATGGTATTGATTATTGTTCTTGCCGTGGAAGGCAAAGGAAGAACATTTTTACAGCGTCGTTTTAAAAACGGGCACGGATAGACAATCGTCCATCATCGGCACTCGATAATAAAAAGACAATCAAAAACAACTTTGCTTCCGCCGAGAGCGTTATCAATAATTTACACTAATGTTCCTCCTCTTTAAAGAGAGATTAATAATGCACCTGCACGGCAATTTGATTTATCGTAATTAAAACACCCACGCTGATTTAATTAAGTAGAGAGATTCCTCAGACGTCGGAGAGGACTTTGAGAGGAATTGTGGGATATCGGCGTCTTGACGAGTCTTCGAAGGTCACTCTTGATGACGATACGCCGTGATTGCGCTTGTGAATGTGCAGCAGCTATTTCACACCATTAAAAGTTATAATTATAGCTCAAAAATGTTAATTAAATTTAAAAAAATTTCCAAAAATTTCCCATAATACTAAAATCACGAAATATTTAAATAAACGGGTTTTAGAAATCTTACGACTAAAAAATTATATGCCGCTTTTGAAAAATTGAAGAAAAATTATTTATTTAAAATAATTTCATTCGTAATAAAATATTCGTTCTAGCGATAGACCGTTAACTATTAATGAGTCAATGGCCAATATCTAGGTTAAAATAAAAGCAAAGAAAAATTATTATCTGTATTAAACATTTTACATATAGTTTAATAATTATAGTTTAATAAGAGCTAGATTAGGGTATAAATTACAAGTATGTTACACTTTGTTACATTTTACACAAAACGTACATATTACGCATATATTAAATAAGTCAGCTAATATCAAAATAGACTTATTCGCAAAATGTATCTGTACATGATCTACAACAAATTATAGTTATACAATAATTATAATTATACAATATATTAATATTATACATAAACGCGTACATCTCACATTATAATATTAGTGTGATAAATAACCTTAATAATAACTGCCGCCGCGCCATTATTTAATCTATCTCGAAAAGAAGATCGAATACCGAGGACGGTGCCGTGTATTTACAGAAATGAGTGATTTTCTGATTCGACGACGTACAAGTCTCTTTGGCAACGAGATGACACGCCGTGTGAGCAAAATTACAAACAATAATTTATACGTGAATTTGTAAAAGAAAATTATACAAAAAGGAAATTATATATAAATTATATATAATTATATTTGTTGGTTATTTATTTTTATATATATTTTATATATATAATTATATATATAATATTATAATATTTGCAGCCGTTGTGATCCCGTTGCTCCTTAAAAATTCCTCCTCTTTTTATAAATCGACACCGTTAGTAGAGCATGTGGCTGGTTCTTGATATAGTACCTGCAAATTGATCATCTGTTCAATTGTATTAACAATCACGTCGAATAGATCACGTGAGACTTTTTGACATTTCTTTTTTTTTGTTTTGCAATCCCAAATGTCGACAGTTTCTGTCGACGTTGAACCTACCATGAATAGTCGATGTGTTTGGCAGGGAGCTCGCTAACGATATCTCGGTGCCCGGATGTTCGTGTATCACCGTCTCGGTGATATTATTTTCCGCCTCGGAATGAGAACGGCGATGCTCCGCTTTCCGTCTCTTCTCGGTGCCGATGCAGCAGTGCTGCTGCTGCTGCTGCTGCTGCTGCTGTTCTCGCTGCATGGCCATCTCGTGAGCGTAAACGGATTCGACGTTCGAGAAGGAGTGGAACCGCTGTCGCCGTTTCGCCGCCAGATTTGCACGTCTGCCGACCACACTGGAGGTGTCATGGCTGCCACGCGAGACGTCATTGCACCTCTCGCGACGCTGAAGAGACTTGAGCGAATCTTCGTACCCGCTAAAAGAAAATACAGGAAAAATTTGCACAGACCATAGGGGAAGGGGGATGATGAATATGAGGGTTAAGAGGAGGGTTGAAAGTAAAATCATTATGCAGACGAATGCAAATCGAAATTATATTTCATGTTATAATTAAAGCACATCTTTCAAGTGTGCAATGTGCTTTTATCGGGCGTGATTCGGCTGACAAGAATCTGTATTTAGAGACCCAACTTACTTGCTACTCTCGCCACTGGAAGGACTGGATGAGTGACTGCAATGACAAGAGGTGCGCGCCACGATACCAGAGTCCTGACCACTGGAATGCAGGGATGTCGCGGATGCCTCGAGACCTTTCAAGGTACCCGTCGACCTCACCGCGTGTTTTCCGCCTCCGCCCATCCTGAAAATAGCCCGTGGCAATAGCGTCGATGTTGCAAGATACTGAGAAATTTTCCGATACTACATAATTTAGAGACAGGAGTTGACACAAACTTTTGTATTTAATTACGTAACACACTTCAATTTTGTGTTCCTACATGTCTTTAAAAAGATAGACTTTTAATTCAGTAAAAACAATATTAGTATTAAAACAATAACTTAACTGAAAATATGGTAAATGCTATTTTATTCAATAATGAAGAAAGTTGATGTAAATTTTGAGATTAAAAAAGAAACAATAATAAAGTTGTCATAAGTATTCATAAAATTACAATTAAAATATTGCATTAAATTCAATATATATTTTTACATGTGACACATTTATATCATAAAAAATATTATAGATACGAAAAAGCCGCATAAAATTTCTTCATTGTCTGATAATAATTTTCAGGTCGGACTTACGTGTGAAAGCGGACGCAATTGCCGTGCTCGCACATGCTCTGCCTCCTGGACATCTCCGAGCAGAAGGGTTCAGGATCGTAATGGAGACCATCGACGAAAGTGGGAAAGAGTGGTGGCTTTTGCAGAGTGCCGGCAGGGTCCGTCAAAGCAAATCCGACCGGGCCGACTGTCGAGAACATGGCCTTGTCTCGTCGTCTACGACTAACGAATGGAATTCGAGACTCCCATTCAGAGCACGCATTTTGTGACGATGATGAAAAATCAACACCAACAAGAACACACCGTGAAACGATTCGATCCCCCGTTCTGTTATTTTACGAATCCTTTCTTACATGTTTAAGCGGCGCCATGGATTTAGATAGAGTATATGTTAATGAGTGTTAATAGATAAATAATTTGACTCCTCAGTATGCGAAGGAATAAGAGAAAAAGAGGAAGATAGCAAAACCCTCTAGCCAACATATCCAAGAAGTTAGTATGGCAGCGTAGATGAGCGTTGTGTTGACCTTAGGCGAGATGGCGAGCGAGCAAAACCATATTCCGCGTACCGTTTATTGCGACGAACACAGGTAACACACAGGGCAGTCACAAGGGCGCCCACGAAGACGACACAGCCGAGCACCACAACGCCCACTTCGAGGGTGGACAACAAGTAACGTTGACTACTTTTACGTGGGGCGTTCCCAGCAATTTCCAGTACGTGATATTCCTCCAGTTCGCGTTTTATATCCGCCTTCTTGTTATTAAAAACACTGAAACATCACGTATAAAAATAATATGAAGCTTCAAAATTAACGCATTCAGACAAAAAACAAAAAATATTTATATTTTGTTATATAGATAAACGTTCAAAAATAATTAATTAAAATAATAATTGCTTTATCCAAGCTTTATAAAATATCAATTAAATTTTCAATAATCTATTTAAAGTAATCTGTTAAATCGCTGAAAAAGATCAACTTTCAATTTATTACAATACAGAGATATAAATAAAGAAAATAAATTTAAAATATCATTTATAATAGATAAGAATACGATGCTTACCTGTGCAAAGTTTCCATGTCTATTATAACATTCAAATGTGGGTCGATCGCGTATAAATAAATATCGGTACTGGAAAATAATTTAAAATTTAAAATATATGATTGTCAATTTGTATCATATCGCACATTAAACGAATCACTTACGAGGCACCGTCGATCAAGTTCTTTTCGATGTGAGGTTCCAGCTTTCTCACTCGCACGTCTAAGCCGGTGACATTCTGCAACGCGCTGAAAGATTCAATTCGTAAATGTTACCATGCTCGCCACGATATCGCGAAGATACAACTTACATAGTAATGTTCTCGAGCTCCGGCTCGATCTCGATGGGCTTCCGACCCATGATCATGACGACTTGTTTCTGATCGTCCAACACGTACACCTGCGGAGTTCAAAAGCGAGATATAACGCCGGATGAACTGCAGAATAAACTGTCACGGTGGTTGGTCTCCGCCGAGTGAAACGAGAGCGAGGGAGGGAGCTTCCGTCTTTTGAAACGTCCCATTTCCCCCCCCCCCCGCGGGGGAATTCATTAGCCCGGGCGCTATCTCTAACGACGAGTAATTAAGATACACCGCGTGAGAAATACAGGAAATATGGACTTACGAAGACGTTGGCGATGCTGCTGCGCCCGTTCTCGGCGCCCTGTCTGTCAGTGGCCTTGACGTCGAAGCCGAAGACGCGACCGGCGTCGCGGCCAAAACTCGCCACCGATCGCACTTGACCGCTAAGTGGGTCAATGGCGAAACGCGGGGCGTCCTCCCGGCCAAGAATTTGATAGCGTATTTCACCATTTATCCCCAAATCCGGATCCTCGGCCTGCGGAAGCGCGTCCAAATAAATTCCGATATTTTAAAGCTGATAGCTGATTTCCGCGCTTCGAATCCTTCGTTCGCGATCGAACTTCGCGATCTGAATTTCGCGATTACAAAAATTTTCTGACTGGTACGAAAGCTCAGTTCCAGATACAATACTGCAAATGCGATATTACTCGTTCCATTAGCGAGTCACATCGGCAATTAACGGAACGATCCATATACACGGGCAAAGGGATTTACGGTGAAAAGCCACTTCAGAAAATTAAATAAAGGGTGAAGAGATGTCAAGGGCAAATACGAGAAGGAGCCGTGATGGGAGAGTAAAAACGACGGTGTAAAAACCAAAATGGATTAAAACCAGCCAGCTTTGAGTTGCGCCCACGCGCGTATGTACATAACGTACGTACCTCCACTTTGACGACCTCGTAACCGTAATGAGCAGTGGTGGGTATAGCGGCGAGGATGGGCCTGTCCTTTGTCTTGAATCTGGGCGCGTTGTCATTCACGTCCTTCACTCTGACGACCACTTTGGCTTCGTTAGGTGCCAGTCCATTCAGCCTCTCACCGACGACTGGATAGATCATAACCGGCATGCCACGGCCGAGCTTCAGTCGATCGACTCTGACCTTCACCTCGTACCGATCTCTGGTCTCCCGATCGATCTCCGTCATCAGGTAGAGAGAACCGTTTTTAGGATCGACGGAAAAATGCTCCCTACTGTCGGAACCATCAGCCACAACGCTGTACCTTATGTGATCCGTATGGTGACCATCGGTGAGATCGAGTTGCGCAATCAACAACGGCACGGAAGCGTTCTCGTCAACTTCTATCTCGTAATATCGATGCCGGAAGGTTGGCATCTTATGCACCTCGTTGTCCGCCTCCTCGTCGTCATCGTCGACGTTCAACACCGTAACGAGAATCACAGCCGAGGAGGTCAAACTTACCGGCGAGCCGAGATCGCTCGCCGTGACGATCAAACGATGATTACTTTTGGTCTCGTAATCGAGTTTGGCGATAGTCGTGATGACGCCCTCCTTGCTGTCCACCGCGAAATACTGTTTCTCCGCGCCGTTCTGATAATTCAGATCGAACAGGATCAGTCCGTTCCCGTTACCAGCGAAATCGCTGTCGTTCGCGTATATCTTGACGATCTGCGTGCCGATCGGACTGTTCTCCAGGACGGAGACCCGGTAGACCGGCAACCGATCGTCCTCTAGCTCATCGTAGCCGTGGAACGTCGGTGCGTTGTCGTTCACATCCAATACATTTATCTCTACCTCCACGGAGGAGCTCAGACTCGGCGAGCCTTGATCGTGAGCGATCACGAGGAGACGATGGGTCGTAGCTCTCTCTCGATCGAGAGTCCCGCTCACGCGTATAATTCCCTCGTAGGAGTCCACGTCGAATGATCGCGAGGCGTTGCCGGCTCGTTTCGAGTCCTCGTGGCTAGTTATCAGCTCGTAGCTGAGATTGGCGTTCTCACCGAAATCGGCGTCGAGCGCCTGCACCGTACCGACAGCATAATCGGTGTAACTGCCCTCGGCCACATCAAAGGTGTACCAGGACTTGTCAAAGACGGGCGCGTGGTCGTTCACGTCCGTCACATGGATCCTGACGGTGATGTTGTCCGCGAGACCGTCGGGGTCCCTCGCCAGGATGAACAGCCGAATGTCCTTTTCCGGCGGTAAGCCCCGGGCCACGGATATTTCAGCCGTGCGCGGGTCGAGGTGGAAATAACGACGACTGGTGGCATCGTAACGGCGCGATCGAACCCCGCTGGAAGTCGTCTCGTTCCCTAGACTGTACGTTATTGCCGCATTCACGCCCTCGTCCTTGTCGTCCGCCAGCAGACGTATTATCGGCACGCCGATCGTCGTGTTTTCCGGCACCAGCAGCAACGGCGAGCGCCGCCCGCCGCCCACCGGGTTGTCGGATTGATTTCCTTCATCCTCTATCTCAGCAGATGTATCCTCACTCGGATTATTTGATACTCGCACTCCCTGATCCGGCAGGACTATCATCCGAATGAACTTCGGAGGATTGTCGTTCGCGTCGAGCACCGTTATCTTCAGAGAACTTTCCGACTTCAGTCCGCCTACGAGGTGAGAAATGCATGAATTTATTTTCGAACGAATTTATATTTTCAAAAAGTTATTTCCATAAATTTCATCATGCATAAAATACACATGACTATAACTAGAGCTACTAATTGGAAGAACTATCGATTCTACAGATATCATTGTAATGTTTGAAATACGATTTGAAGGCTTACCGCTATCAGTGGCGATAACTTGAAATTCGTAGCTCGACCTTGTCTCGCGGTCCAGAGGCTCGTCGATACCTTCAAAGTACACTCGACCCGTTATTGAATCGATCGTGAACAGACCGCTATCGTCGCCCTGCAGCGCAAACGTGAAGTCCCGATTTTCGCCTTCGTCTTTATCGCTCGCCGCAATCGGATTTGTCAGAGTAACTTCGGTTCCCGCAGGACTGTTCTCCATAATCCGGCCTTCGTAAGCGGGCAACGTGAATTCCGGCGCGTGATCGTTTTCGTCGTCCACGACGATTCGCACCTGGGCGTTTGTTTTTGATCGTAAATCCCACGATTGAAGCGACAGCGAGCAAACGCAAATAATCGAATAATAAGAGCATTACGTCGGATTTACGGATGATAAATTTACCTGAAACACGCCCACGCCGCGTAAACTCTCGGCTATCACGGTGATGCTGTAGTTCTCTCTTATCTCGCGATCCAAACCTTGAGGAGCGTAAAGAGAACCGTTCTCCATAATGGCGATATCGGGCACGTCCTGCTGATTGACGATAAGGAACTGAGTGCCGGACATAGCCGCCGTTGTGCCATTCTGCGGAAGCACTTGGCCGATCAATGCGCCGGGAATATTCTCCTTTACATGGAAAGCCAGAGGAGCGGTGGTCGTTCCCCTGCAATCAACGGTCATCGACTTTTGAATAAGCAAAATGGTATCCATCCAAGTCGCAAGACCTTTGACCTTTCGACGCGTTCGGCGAAGTCAGTCGGCAAATCTAGCGTATCGATCTTGCGAGAGAGAGAGAGAGAGAGAGAGAGAGAGAGAGAGAGAGAGAGAGAGAGAGAGAGAGAGAGAGAGAGACACATCGGGGGCAGGCACAAATTTACTCGCGTAAGATATTACTTAATGGCGACACCCACGGAGGCTAGATAGCGGAACAATAAAGTTCGCAAACAGTAGCGCATCATAATTCGTCAACGCCATTTATCCGATGGATGCTTAATCCGATCGTACTTAGTTAATTAGGCGAGGCTTTCTAAACGAAACTAACAATTAGAGGAAAGAATTCCGGAAGAGAACGGGTGTCGCGTGTCGCGTTTGATTCTCGCTCGGGCGAATCGCCTCGTCTTGAGAGATCGTTAGGGGCGAGTCGGGCGCTATGAGATCTCACTCACTTCGTAAGGATACCCCTGTTGTCATTTGGATCTACCACGTGGATTGAAACGTTCGTGATCAGCGTCAGTTCCCTCTCGTCGCTGACGACCGCCTCGAAGTCGTATATGGAATGGTCGAAGCGCTCGATCTCCTCCACGACCGTTATTGTACCCGAGCGCTCCTCCACGGCAAATGGAACTGAAATCCCATCGTATATGTATGCAGCACATGTTACGCATTTGCATGAATAATATAGGCATTTTGCGCGTCGCACGTTTCCGGCCGCGGCGGCGTATTGAAATTGGGGCACATCTGGGAATACTCCCTCCCTCCCCGCCGCGGCACAAGTGAGAGCTTTATTAGGCTGTTAAGAAATCGCGATGTGTGTAGCTTTTAATTCTCACGGGCGTTGTGGATTAATTAATGCGCCGCGCGCTGTCTCTGTCGTGTATATATATATATATATATATATATATATCGTACCTCCTTCCTCGTAACCGTGCAGAAGGTCGTAGATAAGGTCATTAGTTTTGACGGCGTCATTCAGACGAATCTGCCCGACGCTAGTACCCACAGGTACATTCGCACCGACCCAGAACTCGTAGGGTGCACCGACGAAATCTGGTTTCCACGAATTTGGACCTAAAACCCAAAAGTATGTCAAGTAACGTTTTTTTATTAACGAGAAAAAAATATAAGAGAGTTATCGAGTGAGAGTATCTACTAGACGATAATAAATATACCGATAAAAAGTCCTGAACGACTATTTAAATTACCTATTTGTATTTCTCAAGAAATAGTAATTGATAATAATTTGTATTTAAAAAGTTCAAATAGTTTCAATAGGTTGAAAGTAGTAAAAAGTTTGTATACAAATTATTCTGAAACTTTTTTCGAGAGAGAAAGAGAGAGAGAGAGAGAGAGAGAGCTATTATTTTCAAACTACTTGAGCGCGACGCGTATTTTCAATGAGCTTTTGAATAAAAGTTCATTATTATATTTATTAATTTTAATGAAATAGCGTTTGTAAAATTCGTTAAATATTTTCTAATACACTGTCGAAAATATTTAACACAGACGCCTCACCATCCGCACGAAAGACGTCCACCGTGACAACCGCTAAAGAAAATCTTCTCTCGCTGGGATTCGCCGGCTGATCAGCCGCTTCCACGAAAATCGCGTGTCTACCCTCGAGTATCGGGCTCTCCGACACCGTGATCAGACCCGTGCTCTCATCCACCGCGAACGGCGGTTTCCGAAGCGTGGAGTTGCCAGGTTTCTGCAGTCGATAGCGAACCAATCCGTTGGGACCCAGGTCGTCGTCCACCGCGTGCACCTGACCCAACACGGTGCCGACCTTCACGTCGCTTCTCGCCACCAGCTCGTAAAGATTGCCGGGCACGAAGATGGGATTGTTATCGTTGGCGTCGAGAAGGGTAATCTCGACGTCTACGGAAGATCCTTTCGAGCCAGCTTCGCTCGTTACGACGACGCTCGGTCTGTGCTCTACAGCGTACACCTTCATCTTCAGGTGATCGCGTTTCTCACGGTCCAGAACCGTCTGATCCTTTACGGTGAGCCAACCGGATTCCCGATCCACGGAAAAGGCGCCCGCTGGATCCTCCAGCTGATAATCAAACTCCCCGTTCTCACCCTGATCCTTGTCGCGCGCGATCACCTGCAGCACGCTGAAGCCATTCGGTAGATTCTCCACGATGCTAATGTTGTACAAATCGACCTCGAATTGTGGCAAATTGTCATTTAGGTCCATCATCTCCACTTCGACCCGTGCGACGGTCATCTTCAACGGATTGTCCACTTGCGACGCGTGAATCTGGAGATTAAACGTATTCCCCGGCAAGCTCCGCTCGGCGTCAAGATCGATCGCGCGTTTTAGAAACAGCGAGCCGTTTTTCGGATCGAGATGGAAGAAACCTCTTTCGTTACCGGATATTATGTCGTATCGTACTGGCACATTGATGTCCCGATCGCGATCAGCCGCGTGGATCGGATCGGTGAAATTGATCTCCATAAAGATTGGGTACTCCTGCAAAAGAAAAAAAATTTATTACACTACAGGATTTAATAACATCATATTAAAGGGAATACTAAATACGACGATGGAAAGCATTGCGAGATATAAAATACAGATAAAATAAAGATAGAAGATAGAATTTTGTCAATTTCTCTCGCCAAATTATCTTAAATATTTCGCCAAAAACCAAACTTAAGAAATATTTTAGGTATACGGCGCAATTAAATTTCTAAAAAAAATTTCATTTAAATGTCATTTTGAATATAATTGTGATACATTCGAAGATAATCGAATAATTACTAAAACATTAAATGTATCATAATAATTGTTACAATCATACCGGCATGGGATAAAACTCATAAATTTTCGCCTTGTAGATGTCCCGCGTGAATTTCGGATCGAGATCATCGTTGTCCACGACGGTTATCTTGACGGTGCTGTTCGTACTCCTGGCGGGTACACCGCGATCCTAAAGAAATTGCGTCATGTGTTACGCAGGAATAAACTATTGCAAACCAATCCGGTTTGCCATTCATCGCTGAGTTGCAATTTCTTGCGATATGTTCACTGCCATAGAAACGCAACAGTTATTTAACTTTTCATATTCAACAGAAATAGAGGATTGTGTAAAGCCGCAGAGAAGAAAAGCTCTTGTCGGGTACGTAATGTTGTACTCACGGTCGCAGTAATAACCAAGGTGAACTCGCGATCTCCGCTGTCGTAGTCGACCGGCTTTCGGAGTATTAGGGCGGTTCTGTGTCCGGACTCGAGGGAAAATTTGCCCTGCTCGTTCCCCTTCACGATGGCGTAATAAACGTCGCTGTTCGGCGTGTTCGGCTTGTCGCCATCCAGCGCGTGGATCCCGCGAAATATCGTCACACCTGCGATTTCATTATCGAATCTTCATACCGCGCGTCAGAACGCCTTTTGAACACGGCGACACGGCGGGAGAAAATTATTCCCCTATCTCGCGGCGGAATTTGAAATTTGATATCGATCGGGAGAATTTACACGGCCGGTCTTGGGAAAAGAAAAAAAAAAAGACGTATCCGGATAATATAGAATGTCAGATTCTAAAAAAAAAACGCGTTCGACGTGCAGCGGACCGTGCAACGGCGTCAAGTAACATTTTATTTCCGCGATCGTGGATTACGTGACACATGCAAAACCGGGGATATTAATTATGTAGCGTTCAGGTGCGGCGCAAGTGCGATTTATGGTATCGCTGTTGGGTCTAATATCTCACCGACTGGCGTAAGCTCGTCCACCGTTACGTGATAAGGCGCATCGACAAATTGTGGCGCGTGATCGTTTATGTCCTCCACGTAGACCGTCACCGACAAATGCGATGACACCTGGGCATAAACGGCAAAATATAAGTCACTCGATAGCTGCCCTCATTCCTCTCCCCCCCTCTCTCTCTCTCTCTCTCTCTCTCGTCTTCTTCTTCGCCGCTAATCCATGCTGAATTAATGCGACGGCACACAATTCAGGACTCGTTTTACGGCGCGGATCGTAAAACCGATGTTATCGGCGTTTGACGAAATGAAAAAGGATCAATGGGGAAATGGTATTCGTAGTCCGACGGTCCGTGAGCTGCCAACGGAATGGCGTTTAGGCGCGTACATATTCGATGCGATGGCGAGTTAAGCGGCGGATCTGGCGTGCGAGCGTTCACGCGAAAGCCGTAATCATCGGTAATCAAGTCGGGTAAATAGTGCGCCGATAAACGGCATGATCGTGGCGCGTTATTTATCGCCACTTTCGGACCGTTTCCTCGCGCGCGTTACGCTCGTCGCGGCCGAGCTATCTTCGAAAGCAAGTGAAGTCGGGCGCTGAATTATTAAAAAGCGAAAAGTGGACCGAGAGAGAAACGTCGATTTGCATCCCTCGGTGTTCACGTGCCGATAAACAACAACGGGCACCGAAGAGCTAACGAGAAGAATTCCCAGGTCGGCATTCAGGGGGCGATTTAGGCGGGTGCCGTGTTGCGTGTGCGTTCACCCGGCTCTCACCCGCCTCGGAATTCCGCGCGCGGGAGTTGTTACATAAACGCTTATTACCACGCGCAAAAACTAGTAAATTCACCCCGTTCATACGTCCGTTTCTCGGATTGAACCGGTTCACGCACGCTCTGATTACACGCGGACCCGGGCCCAAACCGAGGCGTGCGACGTGAAAAGGTTTACGAGAGCAACGAACGACACGCGTCCACGGTAATAAAATCCGCACGGAGCGGAATCGTCGGGGCTGAATTATCGGACGGCACTCTCAAGGATTGGTATTTCGGATTTAACCGCGTAGGGGGGGGGTCGACGACCGACGATGAAGTATAGGATATACAATTTCACGTCTTACCAACGAGTCACCGGAGCCCGAGTCGCAGGAGACGCGAAATTTTAGCAGGTTCCGTGGCGATTCCGCGTCTACGAGATCCTCCAGAGACTGTGCCAGAATCAGTGAAACGTGCGTCTCGTTCGTTTCCTTGTAAGCGAAGAAACCGGCGTCCTCCTCCTACACGAACAACAAATTTATTTCGGTTGAAATCATTTCGGATAAATGGAATTAACGTGAAGAGATCGCAGCGTACCTTGTCGACCGCCGTAATGGCGAGTCGATTTCTCGGATGTGCCTCCAACGAAAGAATTTCAGTTCCTGTTTCTAGATTCTCCGGCACCCTGACGAATTTCAGATACTCCCCGACAGGATAAAACTGGCATCCTAACGAGTGCAGGGAAATACGACATTGAGTTTGCATGCGTAAATTGATTGAAAAGCGAGCGCGAGCAGTCACGGGATGCCGGAATTAAAATGCAGCGGGCGGAATTGGCGAAATGCACAGTTACACATCGCAGGAATAAGAATGTACCCTTCAAACAAAGTGGAGGGTAATCGAGTTAGTTTTATTCCCACTTTTATTCCTCTTTATCGTTAGACACGAAGTAAAAAGGTATCGCCGCGTGTGTCGAATACGACATAAACAATGTTGTTTGTCTCAGTTTTGCATCAATTTCCTTCTACTTGTCGACAGACCTTGTGTTTCTCTTCAATTTACCTTCGAAGTTTATGACAAGGAAAGATCGATATATATATATATGCAACCAACAAAATAAAATATTTTGGATTTCCTTAGTAATCATGTCTCGCTATTGCAAATAGGAGAGCTCTCTTTGAAATACTTATGTCTAAAAAGAGATAATATATAGACGCAAAGAATAAGAGAGCAGCAGTATTAGAGGAAATTTAAGAACAGTAAATATTTTATTTATTACGTGCGTGCATTATTTAGTATAAAATATCTAAATAAGTACTTCAAAATGTAGACTTTCCTTACGATTAAATTTCTCCGTAATACATAAATAATGGAGCTTCTCTCGTTTGCATAGTATATATATCACGATAAGTACTTTATGCACGTAAAACCTCAGGAAGATCAGTAACACGAACCTCATGGAATATCCCCTTGTTAGCAAAAACTGTCAAATGGTCGATAAAATTTTATGTTTATAATCCTCTAATGGCTTATAATTCAAACACTATCAATTTTTTTATCGATACACTTTTTCCCAAGGAAAAATCAATCCTCAATTTAAACCGAGAGATATGTCTATCTATTACTTTTAAGCGTCATTAATTTAAAGTATATTTTTATATTTTTTTACAACGTTTTTCAAGTGATACGAGCGTGATTCGGGGTCACGAGAGGTATCACTTCATCATTTTGCACCTCAGATAAAGACGCGTTGCCAGATCTGACGTCCGCGTTTCGTCATTCGAAATCGGCGTACGCGGCCTACGGCCGTAAATACGATCCCCGGTATCTTACGCCTATTGTTGCGTCCGCGCGCGTTGAATCCAACACGACCGACTAATTATCCAGCGTAATCTGGAAGCGAGAGTGGAAACGTCGCTTCCGACCGCGAAAGGGAACAGATCGAGAGACGATAGCGGGGCGCGCGCGCTCTCGCCCCCCGTTATCTCGCACCGACGCGAAGGAAGCCCGTACCTTGATTCTATCTCAATTTATTCGGGGCCGGGCTCGCGATCGCGCTCAGCTGATCAGATCGAGCCGAGGAAGGATGCATCGCCGGTGCATCGCCGGCCGAGCGCGATATTCGCGGATTCTCGAGACGATTTGTGCGCGCCTCGCGCACCGCTCTCTCTCTCTCTC